CGAGAAAACTCAGAAAACCTGAAAGAGATTAACTGACTTGTTCACCATCCCAGAAGTAGGACAAAGCTGGGATTCAAACCTAGGTCTCTTGACTCCCACACCACTGGTGATTTTTCTTTTATGCTTCTCTAGCACCAAGGTAATACTAGGTACTGTAGCTATTTGTGCATGTCTTATTTCCAGCTTGGGGGAACAGATAATATATTTTGTTATTCTATGTCCTATAGATCATCTAAGCCAGTACAGTGCCTTGCACAGAAATATTTTAAGTTGAAACATTTATTATACTTCTATATGTCACATAGCACATACTCATTAAATGCTTGTAGATGGTTGATTAATTCTGGAAAGAATGATGTTGAGTCCATTCTAGTAGGCAAGACCACTGAATTTAGGTTCAGAAGGCCTGTTGTCTCAACTCTGCCACTTATTAGCTCTGTAACTTCAATATGTTGTTTCATCTCTTTTGGACTCAGTTGCCCTATCTAGAAAATAAAGGGGTTGGACTACATTATCTAACATAGGTATTCTTAACCTAGGGACCATAATTTGTGGGCAGATTTCAAAGGGTCCATGGACCTAGATGGGGAAAATTTCTATTTAATTGGTTTCCTTTGTAACCCTATTTTATTTTATGCATTTAAAAATATTATTCTGAGAAAAGATCCACAAGCTTCACTAGACAGCCAAAGAGGTCTATGGTACAAAAAAGGTTAAGGACCCTTGATCTATGGATCACCTAGCTAAGATGCAATGGTTCTGTGTATGGATTATGAGAAATTAAACAAGGAAAACAGAAAAATGGCAAACCTCAGGAGAAAATTAAAATTTTCACATAAAACCACATCAGGATAGATAAGACCAACAGTAAAAACAATTCACATTAGATGAATTAAGTACATTTTTAACCATACACACTAATGACTAATGAGTTTAAATATCTAGATATGACCCTCAGGGAAAACACAATGATATTATAGATGCCACACATTCTACACTGATTTAAATCAGACAATAAAAAAACCACAACTTTTTCTTTTGAATACAAAACACTGAAACTATCCTCAGAACACAGCAATTTTATTTCAAGGAAAATGCTCCTGATGCCTCATCTGTCTTCAAATCTAGCCAAAGTAAGTCCATCATCTGTCCAAGTGTGCACTCATGGCCTATCTGCTCTCCAAGCTCCTCTGCCCAGCTGGGAAGGCCCTCCACACATCTGCCTCATCTTATCAACAGGACCTTATTTTGCATTCTTTCCTAACAACACTCTAAGCACTCCAGTCCCAATGGTCTTGAATGTCCTATGCGCTAACCTTCCATTAAAGCCCAGTTTCAGTTTTGTGTCTTCTATCATAAAGCCTTCTCAGGATCATATTTCTTATTATGTACCAGAAAATCTATTACTTCATCACACACTATTATGAATTATTCTCTAAATGAGAAAAATAGTTTCATACAACAAGAAGCCAGCTAGTATTATGAAACACACTGGGATTTAGAGCAAAAGCACAGGGCTTGAAATCTGGCTCTGCTACTTCCTTTTCCTCTGAGGCCTTAGGCAAGCAACTTCACTTCTCTGGGCCTTAGTTTTCTCATCTGAAAATTGGAGGGTTGGACTAGATAAACTGTAAGAGCCCTCTAAACTATAAATCTTTCATTCAATGAATTCAACCAACACTTATTAAGCAGAGTACACACATGCAAATATGACACAACTTGGAATAATATTATATGCACAGGAGAGATCATGTTGGTAGAAGAGGTTAAAAGAAAGGAGCAATCGCTTCTAGTTAAGATTTACAAAACTATACTGGCAAGCTCCTTTAGCACAGAAACCAAGTCTGATGCTTATACTGTGTTTCCCACTCCTCCCACCCCATGGCATGTAACTAGGTACACAGTAAATAATCAATACTTGTTGATTCCCCCAAATAGAAATGTATCAATCAACTGATGATAATATATACCATTCCCCTTCAAAATTCAAATAAATTTCCTTAATGCTTTAAGATTCAAATGGTTTCATTATTGTAAGAAAGCTCATTGATGAAATTATCTTCATTTGGTAAGTTACAACCACATCACTCATACAAGTGTTATCCTGGACAAAAGATGGAGCTGTGGGGGGTAGGGGATGTGAAAGAAAGCAGCACTTCTGAATAAACTTTTAATTCTTAGGTTTCGAAAAGACAAGAACATAGAGTAGAAAAGAATGCCCTGCCTTTTTTGTTTAGCATATCAGTCAAATATCTTTATTATGAGAAGTTTCTGAAAGATAATGAATGTGAAAAAAAGGAACATCAATGGGGGGGGGGGGCCTGTACCTTTACCCAGCCAGCAGATACTTTACAGTACTAGTTTTTCAAGAAAAACCTGTCCAGCTGCAATACAGGCTAGCCTAAGGGATAATTTTTTCAATTGTCTGACCAATCAATTATTCTAGATTTAAAATGTGAGTAAGAATGCTATGACACCAATACTTTGTAAGGGAGTCTTCCCAAATATTTCCAACATCTAGTAACTGATCCAAGACCTGGAATTCAGTGAGGATAAATATAAGAGTATGTTCAGATGCACATGCATGACAACAAAGAACCTGAAAGTCAAAATGGCCCACCTGATAGATAGATTTCTGGGCAACACAGTGTCCTTACTTGACTTAAAAGCCAAACATAATAGTTGCTTAATAAAACCTTATTTATTGATAAAATATTCACACATTATAAAGAGCAAGTGGTAGATATTAATGATTGGACTGAGTCATAAGTTTCTTGAGGGCAGCATATTAAGTATATAGTCTAAAAGAGGCTAAAGTTGGGAAATAACACTTTTCCTTTCTGTCCAGCATTAGTCAAATCCTGATTAGGACTGCAGATCTAGCTAGTTAGGAAATCAGAATTCAATCTAAAATTTTATGATTCATTATTTTTATTTATGTTTGTGACAGATCAGTTAACTATGAGAAATGTTATAAAGAAATCCATTATTAATTACCAGAAACACAGGCAACAAGTAGAACATAGGATTTATAGCTAGAAAGAATCATAGACATTATCTAATCCAAACTTCTCATTTTATGGAAGAAATCAAGCCTTGGAGAAGTCAAATGACTTATTCACAGTCACACAAATAAGAAGGATGTGTCAGAGCTGAGGCTGGAGCCTCTGAGCCCAGCCCTCCTTCCCTGACAATATGCCTGCTTCCCAGTCACTGATCACTCAGTCCCAGGCCTGCAGGGGCAGGCACTCAGTCTGAGTGGAGAAGCCTGGTCACTACAGCTCCAAGGACTAAGTAATTTCTCCACATCCTCAACATGGACAGCAATTTTGAGAGCATGATGGGTAAAGGTTATATAAGCTGGAAGGACTATTTTCATCCCAGCATCATTTTTTTGTTGCTTTTGTTTTGGGTTTTTTTGGCAAGGCAATCGGGGTTAAGTGACTTGCCCAGGGTCACACAGCTAGCAAGTGTTATCTGTCTGAGGTCAGATTTAAACTCTGGTCCTCCTGGCTTCAGGGCTGGTACTCTATCCACAGCGCCATCTAGCTTCCCCACCAGTATCATTTTTGGATCCCAAGCAGCCTCCAGACCGTAAGATCTTAGATTCATCCAATCTACAAGATCCTAGATATTTTCTCAGCCTCCCCTTACATGAGGGCAGGACCAGGATATCTCCTTTCTTTTCTTTTCAGATTACAAGGTCGACGAGGGAAGAGACTGTGCCATAGTTAAATTGCATACCACCTAGGACAGGGGTGGGGAGCTTGCGGCCTTGAGGCCACATGTGTTTCTAGGTCCTCAAGTGCGGCCCTTTGACTGACTCCAAATTTCACAGAACAAATCCCCTTCAAAAAAGGAGGTCCTAGGTCCTAGGACAATGCCATTAATATAGCTGGATATTAATAAATGTTGTTTGACTCCCGTCCTTAGGGAAAGCCTCATGGAGAAGTTGGGAGACTTTAGTTTGGCTTTCCTGGGTGGGTAATACTGGGAATAGGAATGAGACAGATGCTTCTTTGCTGCTGCCTAACAGAAGGAACAATGGCCACTGTGAGTTAGACACAGGACTGAAAACTCACCAGTTTCGATCCAAACTCTGCTGCTAAATGATGGGCAAATGTAGCCTCAGGCAATTTAGCGTACATCTCCCTTTGACCCAGAGATAGTACTCATCCCCAGTGAGAATACTGAATTCTTCAGAGAACTTTAGAGGGATCACAAAAATATTGATATCTCACCACACATTTTTCTAACCTTTTGTCAAATAACAAAAGAAAACAAAAACAAAAACAAAACCATGAAATGTTGATCTTCAACATTCCCCCTTTTAACTTTCTGACTTCAAGCATTGGCACAATTTTATTAGTAACCTCATTTTTACTTTCACTTTTTAAGATTTATTTTCAATTCATAGAACAAAACAAGCTTTTCCATAACACAGTAAAATAAAAAAGATGATTGTACACGAAATTGCAAATCTGCCATGTACAATTTGCTATTCTCTCCAAATATACAACAAAGTTATCGTGTAAATTTCTTTTTTTCCCCTTTTTTCCTTTCCTCCTCCCACTCACCCGAGATGGCTACCATTAGACACAAATAAGCATAGATATATGTAAAATTATTCTATAAATACTTCAATTTATCAGTTATTTCTCTGGGTGCAGACAGTGGCTTTCTTCACAGGTCCTTTATTGTTAATTTGTGCATTTATAATAGTCAAAATGACTTAGTTGCACAAAGTTGTTCTTAAAACAATATTATTGTTACTGTATGCAATCTTCTCTTGGTTCTGCTCACTTTACTCTTCATCATTTTGTGCAAGTCTTTCTATGACTTTCTAAGATCAGTGAGCTCAACATTTTTTACAGCACAGTAATATTCCATCTACTACACAATGAGATGTAGAGATAGAGTTTTGGAGTGCTAGAAGTGAGGTCAAGATTGTCTCTGACAGCAGCGACTAAAGTCCCAATAATTTCTCCCTTGGTTTTCAGAGGACGGCCTAGGTAGAAAGGGCTATAGCAATACAGCATACCATATGATGACCTCACACTGCCATCTCGCATAGAGAAAGGTAAGATTCAGGTTTAAAAATGCTTTAGTTTTAAGAATTCTATTTTCTATACAATACTTATGGTACTGTAGATTTCATGTGTTATGAAAAGTGAACACTGTCTCAAATCAATGTTTATTTTATTGAGATGTTAGCACAAAAGGTCACAGAATCCTAGGGAATCACTAGTAAGAAAAAATGTTTTGCATGTTACCAATTTCATTTTGTGTATTGCATTTCATGGGTTATTTCATGGTTACTGTTTTAGGAAAAGCACATGCCAGAATTAATGTTTTGTTATAAAGAATTTTATTCAGAAAAGTGCATTTTCAGCAATCTCTATCAAAAGATTACAGTTTTTGGTGGTTGTGGGAACTTAACCCCTATTTCTCATAGGTTCAGTATATCAACATTCCCCTTTTTTTACTATCACACCATTTTCTAGGCACATTAGCCCCACAAAAGTTGAAAATTGACTCTATCTTCTCTGCTATAAACTTATTACCAAGTCAATAGCCTTAAGTTCCTGTTCACTCATTTGCTGAATGAATACAAGGAACTTTGGGTGATGCAGAAATGTCTAAGACAAAGTCACTGCCCTCAAGAGGTTTACAATTCAGTCCAAGAAATAAAACCTTCTACTTGCTATTCACAGTGTGTGAAGATGTGCCCCCTGCGTCATTTAATCAATCAACAGGCATTTATTAAGGACCTTTCTTGTTTGGCTTTTAAATCCTTTCCCAACCTAGACTTCTTCCTAGCTTTCCAGTTTTTTTTATACTTTATCCCTTTTCCCAAACTCTACAATTCGGTTAAAATTGACCTTGCTATTCCTCTCCCATGACACACCATCCCCCAACTCCTTGCCTTGGGCTGTCTCCAATGCCTAGAACACTTTCCATTCTAATATCTGCTTCGTGGCTTCCAGGGCTTCCTTTAAGACTCAGCTCAAATCCCACATTCCATATGAGTCCTGATCCCCACTGTTGGACTTGCTTCTCTCTGAGATTATCTACCTGAAATTCACACTGTATATCACGTACTTGCTTAGCTGTTTACATATTGTCTCTCCCATTACAATGTTAATTTCTCGAGCGAAGGGACAGGGTGTTTTGCTTTTCTTTGTGTGGAGTCTAGCACAATCTCTAAGACATAGAAAGCACAAAAGCTTGTTGATTGATTAAATGACAGGCACAATAATATGATAGGTGCTAAGTATCTTTTTGAGTAATCAACTCTTGAAATAAAAAACTGCTACTATAACTATTGAATAAAAACTACTCACACACTAATGAAATAGTTTTGGGGATACACAGTATCTCACTGACCACTCTCTCATTTTAAAGAAAAATTTATGCACTCCCAAATTTCCAAATAAATTAAATTTTGTCTGAGTTTTAAATTTCTATATCATTCTCCTTATTAATGCAACTATGTATAGCTGCTCTTGGTAAATCCATCTGTGGGAAGAGCTATGTCTTCTGAAATGAAACCTATCTTCACCGATGCTGGTATAGATCTGCAGAGAGTAGGCTTGTTGAATCAGTGAATAAATGGTAAAGTCATTTCTACCTGATTCTACTAATTGGTGGTTGTGAATGAAGAGCAGGTACAAGGAAAAATGTCTTTGGTAGCTTTTCACCCATTCTCTCATCATTTTATCCTTTTGGTGAGAGGAGGAAAGAGAACTTTCTAACATATTATGTGTTCCTAAGTCAAGTGCTCAGCAGCACTCACCATATTTAAATATTTACCACGTTTCTTCTTTTTCAGGTGAGTGTAAAGACTTCACCAGTCTTCTGCTTCATCTAGGTTTTGTTCACATGGTATTCAAAAATCTTCCCAAAGTACTGCAAAGCCATTGACTTCTCCAGTGGCCCAATGGCACCACAGGGTATCGTTCTTTTAGATAACTCGTCCTTAACACACAAACACTTTAGGAAGTATGAAAGTCACGGAGGAAATAAATGATCACTGCTGTCTTAGATAATGACCCATAGAGACAAAGATAATGCATCAGAGAACCAAAGGCTATCAAAATAGTCTTACACAGAAACATTTGCCAAAAAAAAAAAATAGTCAGACAACTGTTCTTGCACTGACCCACAGGAGCCAGCCAGAAGGAATTTCAGCACAATCCTCTATTTTAAAATAGACCTTCAACTTTGGGAAGGTCCCACATAGGACTTTAAACTATTTACATATAGCAGCAACAAACCTGCCTCTAATGTTACAGACAATAATCAACATTCATAGAAGACACCAGCAGCTGGGCATTGACATCAGGCAAGGTATTAAACAGGGTGATATAATGTCCTTCAAAGATACTCTCCAGTCACAAAAGATAAAAGACAGTGTGGTAAACTGCAAAGCAGAATGGATTTCAAGTCAAAGGATTAGAGTTCATTGATAACCCAGCTGCTATTTCTTAACTGTGTGACCTTGAGTATGCTCCAATTAACACATCAAACCCAGGACCTTACCAAGTCTCCTCAGCTAAAATCAGTCATATGAAAGGAATTTGTCAAACCACCAATACTAGAAAAATAAAATTTTTAAATAAACATTATCTGGATAAATGTGCAGCCAGATGAATAATACATTGAAATTAATTCATAGTCAATAGAACTGGTTCAAATCTAGGCTTCATTTTTTTTCTTCCAAATATGGCCTCAGCAAAACCTAAGCATGGCTTATAATCAGTTATTTTACAATATGTGTGTATACAATTTTCCTTTTAATGAGATCTCATTTTAGAAATATACCCTATATTTGGTATGAATGTATCTATGTAGAAGAGGCAGAGTTACATAATTACTATGGATTTGAATTGGACTTATGATGACCTGGGTTCAAGTTCCACTTCTGACAGTAATTGAGGAAGTCACTTAACCTCTTGGTCCTACTCCACCCCCCAGAAAACTCTCCATGACTGTTAAGGACAATTGCCCATTGGCCAATCAACATCTGTAAAATGAGGATAATAAGATCATCTACCCCACAGGGTCACTGGGGGGTTAAATGAGTTGATAGATGTAAAATATCTTGCAAAACTTAATGTGTATACATGTGTGTTAACTATTTTAAAATTCCTCAATTTAATTTTAATGGATTTTTATTGATATGTTAGATATTTTTACTATTTTTAGAGGGAGTTTTCTCCTTGAGAGAGATCCCTCCACCTGTGAAATCACAGGTCCAGACCAAATATACATAATATAAAAATCTCTGACACTTAGGACTTTAAGGTTTACAAAGCAGTTTACATATAATACCTCATTTGGGTTTCACATATAAATACTCACATATCCATGTATTTCGTTTTTATCTCCTTGTAAAAGCCAATGAATAGCACTTCAATATGAGATGAGTAACTGTCTTATGAAATTATGTTTCTTCTCACTTTTGGACATATAATAAAACTAACTCTTGACAACTTCTCTATTTGCTTCTTCAAGGCAATTAGAGCCCATGAGCCATCCCTCCATTTAGCCGTAACTTCTGATTGTCTTAAAAGTTCATTTATGGCAAGAATATCAAGATTCATATAAGAATTACAGTTCTTTGTCCTTTTGTTTATTGGATGAAGGTGTCACATTTAGAGCACCAACAGCTAAGTTAATATTTTTAGATCAACTAAAAACTGTGATAATTCTTAGCACACTCTGCTACCATCACTGCAGAAGCAGAAAGTGACCACCCAAGATTAAGGGCCATTTTGTATTTTTCTTGGTTTCATGGTTGGCCAAAGCCAAAGAATTTATCACCAAGCCACCAGACAATTGGAGATGGGCCTCTCTATACTTAGCTGGACTCTTCCTCAGACTTAGCTTGACTCTCCCTCAGAAGGTAGATGCCATCTCTTCCTGAGACCATATTCAAAGCCTTGCCAGTATGGTAGGATCTGCCAGAGCTTGTACTCCAGGGTCATAGCCTTAGGGAATCCAGGATCACAGCCATAACTGGAGGCCCTGGAATAGAACTTTGCATGAACACATACTATGGACAATCCAAGGCAGCGTGACTTGGTTAAAAGAGTCCTTACTTTAGGAATTAGCAAAGACCTACATTCCAATCTTGTTTCTGACACTTATTGACTATCCATCACCAATCATCTTGACCTATATCCTGCCATGGGACTCCAAATGACTCTGGAGGACAGAGTGAGGCTGATGGCTTTGCACACTGCCTCATTTAAATCCAATTCACTTGCAAGTCAAGATATCACCCTCCTGACATCAATGATCCTCTTGGAGAAGAAAAGACCAACAACAACAATAACCATGAACTTTCCAAGCTTGAGTTGCTTCATCTACAAAGTAGTGGTAATTCCTATTACTGCCTACTGGGTTTTTGTGAGAATCAAATCAGCTAATAAACATAAATTGTTTCTTAAGGCTCAGTGTGAGCTATAACAATGACATCCTTGGCCCAAAATGGAATAGCAGGAAGAGACAGAATTGAGTATCAGAAGGTAAATGATGCTCTTTTGATGTCCACAAACTTCACAATGCTACAACAACTGATGTTTTCAACGCCAATGTCTTTCCCCTGGTGATATATGGCTGTGAATCAGGGAATACAAAGCTCTCAAAGAACTAACATCACAAACCCCAAAGGCAAATACAGAGACATGCACTGGGGCTACAGCTTTTCAAAGACAGTTTGCATGCAAGAAGGATGTTTCACCAATGGTCAGTATGACTAGAAAAGAAAGAATTAGAGATGATAGATGGTATTCATCAAAACGTTAAGTTGTCCTTCAAGAAATATGAACCACCTTCCCCCAGGAAAAAAATTTCAAATATGAGGAAAGCCTCTAACAAAATTGGTGACTGGTCTATGGTAAAACATGAGAACTACATAGGGAGGAAAGAGCTCTGATGTATGTCAGTAGAGGTAGCAGACTACCTGATTAATTAGGCAATCACTAAAAGTTTAAAAAAATGCAGTTAGAAAAAGAGAGAAAGGAAAAGCTATATTTTCTAAGAAGTAAACTTACCCATGTAGATCAGGAGCCA